AAAGAAAGAAAGAAAGAAAGAAAGAAAGAAAGAAAGAAAGAAAGAAAGAAAAAGAAAGAAAGAAGGAAGGAAGGAAGACTGGCAGTTATCTGTTTATTCATCTATTTATTTAAAATGCTTAGCTTAGCTTGGTGGCTCACGCCCACCAGCACTCAAGGAGGCAGAGGCAGGAGGATTTCTTTGAGTTGGAGGCCAGCCTGGTCTACAAAGCCAGTATGGGACAGCCAAGGCTACACAGAGAAATCCTGTCTCAATAAAACAAACAAACAAACAAACAAAACCCTGAGTTTTATCTCAGAAGGAATCAGCATGTTTTCAGATGAAGTGGGTCTACTGAAGAACAAACTAGATGAGAAACACCTGGGCTCACTCAAATGCTTGCTAATACAAACACGAGGATTTGAGTCAGGCACACACCTGTGGCCCCAATAGTGGGGAAGTGGAGACAGGGTGGTTGTTGAGGCTTGCTCTCCAGCCCATCTAGCTGAATTGGTGAGCTCTGGGTTCAGAAAAAGACCTTGTCTCAAAACTGATGTTATGTTATCATTAAGCCAATAAATTATCTCCCACTTGCTCAGAAACCCTAGTTAAACTCAGTGGCCACACAGAAAAAATGACATGGAGCAGGAAGGAGACCTACTGAGAAGGATCCCACAGAGAATGGTGAGGATGTGTGTGACAATGACTTAACATTTATTGTATAAATGGAATTGTCAACAAATTAAAAATAAGATGCAGAGTAATTGGGGAAGACACTCAACATGACTTGCACACACATACACAACGCATGCACACAGAAACCGAGTACTTAGACAAGGGCTGAGATGTAGCTGAGTGGTAGAGTATGTGCCTAGCATCCACAAGGCCCTGGGTTCTACCCTCATCACCACATACACACAAAGGCCACTAAGACACAAACATAAGGCCAGGCGTTGTGTCACAAGCCTGAAATCCCAGCGCCAGGAGGCAGAAGCAGGCAGATCTCTGAGTTCGAGGTGAAATTGGTCTACAAAGCAAGTCCAGAACATACAGGGCGACACAGAGAAACCCTGTCTCAAAAAAAAACAAAAAAAGACACAAACATAATGACATTAATTCCTTATATACATACTATTATAATACAGCATGAATTTGCCTTAATTTCTACATAAAGTTAATAACTTGCCACAAAAAAATAATAGAATCATTTATGTGAGGCTATGGAGTAGACACACAGACTTGGTCTTGGTTTAACAGAAAGAAGACTAAAATGACAAAAGATACCTGAAAGAACAGGGAATCTGGAATTTTAACGGAGAAATTAAAAATAAGAGAGGAACTAATTGGATCTCTCCTCAAATCGTAGTTTAGTCTTTTATCTAATAAACTGAAGATTGCTCAGACATTGAAGTATCTTGTTTCATGTCATATATTTTATGTGTGCATGATATATTCTTGTTCACACGTAAGTGTATATGCAGGTGTGTGTGCATGTGAGAGTAGAGGTCAGAAGTAAACTTTTGAGTGTCTTTCTTGATTGCTTTCCAACATATTTCTAATTAAACCAGTAGTCTCTAATTAAACCAGGTGCTCATCAATCCATTTAGGCTGGCTAGCCAGTGAGCTCCCAAGATCCTCTAGTCTATCCTACTCCCCCAGTGACAAAGTCAGAGGTATACTACATTTCCAGGCTTTTAGATGGATCTAAACTCAGGCCCTCATGATTGTGCAGTGGGCACTTTACTGACTCTCCAGCCCCAACTTACATTTGAAAATAGGACAAAGCTATTTTAAACACATGCAAATCTGGCTAGTAATATGGTTCAGAAGGCAAAGGCACTTGCTACCAAGTCTAACAACTTAATTTATGTATCTCTTATGGTTTTACCATGCTATACTTCCACGCCAAATGCCTACAACCCTGCTTCTCCTGGAACGCTGTCCTTGTTTTCATCTCTTCACCTTCAAGCTTGATTAACTCACCCTTGCTTGCCCTTTCCATGCTGTCTTTCCAGATTACTCAGCCCATAGGTGTCCCTGTGTCTACAGTTAGGAGCTTAGTTTCTGGCCTATGTGCCTTATTCTGTCCTTGCTTTGTGAGGTAGAATGTTCCACTACCTCCTGCTTACCTCTTCTAGGAAGTCATCTCAGATCGCTGTCTGATCCTTGGGCTGTTCTTGGGATTCAGTGGCTCTCTGTGTCTACTACTCAGAAAACTGACACTATGCTGTCGACATAGTTACTTGTCAGTCTCCCCAACTAAAATGTCTGAAGACAGAGTCTAAAAAAACGAGCTTTGTAAGTGCCTAGCACTTCCAGAAAAAAGGGGAAATACCATAGTTATATTCATGGATACATACTTCTGACAGCATAGATAAAATCAAGACCTCTTTCACCACAAGACAGTTAAGATTCTGGACCCGTTACAGCTATCACATAATTGTTAGCATGTTGCTGAGTTCATTAGAAAGTAAAGGAAAACACTTCAAGGAGAAAATAGATGACATTATGCTGAAAGCTACATAAAAGATGAGCAACATGTAGGAGAACTAGGTTCCCTGGGGACAGACACCAAAATCAGCATTGTAAACAGTCAAAACCATAGGTCAAATTAAAGACTGTGATTCATGACTAAACCTGGAAAGTAGAGGCAGCTGGATCAAAGTTCAAAGGTAATCTTCAGCTACATAGTGATTTTCAGGCAGCTTGGGCTACAAAAACAGTCTTAAAAAGAAAAAGAGGATACAAACTATATGGGAACATAAAAGCAAATCTTACAAAAGTAGAAAACAATATGGATGATTAATGAAATGGGAAATAAATGAGAGGATCAACAAAGCCCACTGTGGCATCTGATGATTTACAACGGAAATTTCTGGTACAATTGATCAAAGAGGGAGAGGATGATAAAGTAAATAGCAGGAAGATAGAACACATGAACCTCATGTTTGAAAAGAATGATAAGCTAGGCATGGCGGCGCGCACCTTCAATCCCAGGTAGGAAGGCCTCTGTAACTCAGAGGCCAGCCCAATCCACACAGTGAGTTCCAGGCCAGCCGGGGTACATAGTGAGATTCTGTCTCAAAAAAAGAAAGAAAGACAGGAAATGCACACTAAAGTAGAAAAATGACTCGAGAGCCCAAATAGTTTGTATAGTTAACTAAATAATTTGAACCAGGAGTTAAAATTATGCTTACAAAAAGCCAGGCACAGTGGTGCACACTTTTAATCCCAGCACCTGAGAGGCAGAGACAGGCCTAGTCTACATAGTTCCAGGACACCAGAACTACATAGTAGGCCCTGTCTTGAAAAAACAAAGCAAAATTAAAAAAAATATATATATATGCCCACAAAGAAACATAAGGCTCAGATGGCTTTATAAGTAAGTTTTTATCAAACATTCAAAACAGTTCATTTCAGTATGATGTAAACTCTTCCATAAAGTAAGACAAGAGGCAACAGTCCCCAACTCAGAGGGTACACAGACCAAAAGGACCATCTAGGGCCATCTTAGAAACCTCTTTAGAAATCTTACTAAAAACAAAGGCACTCATATACAAGAATGTTCATAGCAGCATTGTGTATAACAAAAACACGGAAACAGCCCAAATGTTACTCAACAGGTGGATGGCTAAGTAAGTTGTGTTTTATGTGCTTGATGGAGTAGTATACAAATGAACAACGAGTGAATCATACCTATTACAATGTAGATGAATCTTAGAAACATCCGTAAGTGCAAAAAAGCAAACTTCAAGGAACAGAGTACATTTTTGTAAAGCTAAAGTACAAGCAAAACAAAACAATACATTCTTAAAGAATATATACACACATGGCCAATATATATAAACAAGTGATTAATGAGAATAAAATTAAAGACTGTGGTTACCTCTAGGAAGAGGCAGGGCAAGGGGGCATAAACCTAATAGTACTTTTAACATTTTAATGTATAAATTGAATGATGGGTCATAGGTACTCATTGCATTTCATAATTTATAATACATATTTCTTTATATATATCAAATATTACTTGTAATTTTTTAAAAAAATCTGCACTCATGGAAATACTTGACAAGTGGATGATATCTCCCTGAAATAAAAATCTGTATTTCTTAGGAAAAAAAAAAAAAAAAAAAACAAGATTCCCTGACAAGAAGCTATCTTGTGGCAAGGACAGAGTAGGTCCTCAATTAATATGGGCTGGTTTCCTGCTGTTCCAAGGATACAACTAGAGTGTCTGGATCCTTCCCGCTGATGCTCCCTGACCTGCAGAATCGGTGCCACCTCCTGTTAATCTAGCCTAACCCCACAGTCCTGGCTAGATCCTGACACGTGTGTGACATGAGCCTGACACCTGGTAGATGCAGGATGAATATAATGAAGTGATTATGGAGTAATCATTCATGAACTCCCAGAAAGTGGCACTAGAATGGGAGTAGGAAATAGGATCTGGAAAGAAAGTAAAATTTAGACTAGAAAAGGAGCTTGCTCTGTGAGACTGAGGTGAAAAGTTGTCCTGTGAGAATTAAGAGACTCTAAAGAGAATGCATTCCTTCTCTGTCCTTCCCAGACTACAATGAGATAAGAAGTTACAGCTGCAATGAGGGAAATGCAAGACTCAGGGATAGGGCAGCAGTGTAGCTCACCTCAGCCTAGTAAGCTAAAACACACTTAGTAGTTGTTGGCTGTTTCTCAGCAACTCTCCCATCCTCCACACAAGTCTCTATCTCGGGGACTGGTACTGGGAGAAGGCTGATTCCACCCTTTTCCCAAAGGTGGTCCACGATGTACACAAAACACATTAGCATTAAATATCTTCCTGGCCTCACTAGTTGGTCAAGGGTACACCTAACCCAGGCTGGTTAATCATGGTAAATCTTTGGGCTTTTGCTAGGATACCTGACACAATGATACCCTTTCTTTCAACTTAGTTATAAGGATCTAACACAATCCTAGGAGTACTGGCAGCTGTGAAGTAGTCTAAACTAAAGATGATTTATATTACCTGAAGCAGTGAGGAACATACTGAGCAAGCAGATCAAGCCTCACCTGGAGCCAGGACTGCCTCTTGACTTTGCAATTTCATCAGCCATAAATTGCTTTTATCTTAAGTGATTTTGAGTTAAAAGTTTTCTATGATTAGAAGCCAGAATATGCCTAACCTACATTCATACTTACCCTACCTCTCTACTTTCCCCAGAAGAGCACAGGGATGGAGGTGAGAAGTCATTACAGATTTATTGGTTGTATTAAAGCCACGGTACTGAGCGAGGAAGGTCTGATGCAGCCATGAGGCACGATGTAAGCCAGGCCAATGGGCTCCCTTAGGGAAAGACTAGCTGAATGAGAAGCAGGTGTAGCAAAGGGCCTCTACCAGGCAGGCAGGTAGAGCTCACATGAACATGGCCACTTTTCCCCACAGACCTATCTGTCTATCATGGGGGTGTTGCTTTGGGGTCTTTGTGCTCATGGGTTAGGGAACTTTGGAGTACACGACCCTTTAACCCTTTGTTAGCCTGTGTTGCAGCATCCGACTCTCCCTTTACCAACTGAAAAGTCTCCTTTTGAATTCTGCCCTTGATAACACTCACTTTAGAGGTGACAGGAGGAACTTCTGTTTCTTTGGCTTCCTGGGAACTCAGGCTCCGTTCTCCTTTGGAAACAGCACCATCTTTCTGACCTTGAGCAAGCACTGTTTCCTGCTCAGCTTCGCCCACTGGCCCTAGTCTTTCTGGTCTCCCAACTAAGTTGTTTTCTCTTTTTGAGCCCCATGTCTCCCAGAGTAACTGTGGGGATCTGGGAGAGTTCACAGCTGCTGCTGGTTTCTCGGGAGCAGCATTTCTCTCCCCGTTCCCACCTAGCTTTTTTCGAGGGCGTCCCCGCTTCCTTTTCGCTTCACTTTTATCCTCTGTGTCATGCTTCACTTCTTTAACTGGTGGGTCCTGCCCGCTGGCCTCACTCAGAGGCACCTCAGCTGTCCTTTTGACACCCTTGTCATGGGGTCGTGGGTCACCACCACTTATGCCTACCTCCCTGTTCTCTGTGCTTTGAGGCCAAATGACTACCCTGGGTGGAACTCTCCCTGGTCCAGGCCCAGCCCCAGGCCCAAGCCCAGCCTGAGGCCCTGGCCCAGCCCCAGGCCCAAGCCCAGGCCGTGGCCTAAACCCAGGCCCAGGCCCAGGCCCAGGCCCAGCACCTGACAAAGTAGGTACAGGTGGTAAGATCATGTTAATGACGGGCACAGCTGCCTGAGGTCCTCCAACCCTAGTGGACAGAGGCAGCGCAGCCACTTTCAGAGTGCCTGAAGAAAGCTTAGGAGCCAGAATGGGTGTGGTGAGTGATCGGGGTGCTCTCGGAAGGAGCACAGGCAGTCGCGCCACAAGGGCATTGACTTGTGGCTTACTGGCTGCTGGGGCTGAGCTGTCAGTTACACTCTTCTTCCGCTCCCCACGCCCTGGAGGCTCAGTCCCAGCTCGGGCTTCTAGCTCTTTAGGAGGCTAAAATGGAAACAGAGTCACCATAAGGCATAAAGACTGAATATAGGAGCTGAAGAGATGGCTCAGGGGTTAGGAGAATTTGTTGTTTCTGAAGAGGAACTAGGTTCAATTCCCAGCACCCACAGATGGCTCACAATAGAACCTCTAACAGTTCCAGGGGACCTGAAGTCCTCTTCTCCCCTTGGACACCAGACATGCATATGGTGCAGACACATGTGCAAACAAAACATTCATACACAATAAGTAAGTAAATCTAAAATTAATAAAATAAAAATAAAAACTGAGCACAGGAAGAAAAGTGCACTAAGACCCTACCCCAAACCCTAGGCAACAATGTCAGAGACATCAGTTGCCTTACCTGGGCCGGTCTCTCTGGCTTCTTAGGGCCTCCACCTTCCAGGTTCTCTGCCCCATTCTTGGATTTACATGATGACCACTCTCGAGGGGCTCTTTCATCCTCTTCTGCAGAGGGACCAGAAATGGTAATAAAGCAAGGGTGGGGAGGAAACCAAGAAATAGAATGTGACGTCAATTTGACTGCCTAACTCCCTGGATCAGACAAGGAAGCAAGTGTTTAAACCATGGCTTAAGCAGCAGTTCCAGGAGGGGCTGGGCTAAGAGTTCGTCTGCTCACATGCTTGGCATGTAAGCAGGACTTGAGTTTCATCCCCAGAACCTACATGAAGAAACAGGCATGATGGGGTGCTTGCCTCTAGTCAATTCCAGAGCTGGGGAAGTGAAGACAGGGAAATCCCTAGGCTCCCTGGCCTGCCATCCTAGTCAAGTCCTAAGGAAAGACCCTAATCCAAAAAACGAGGAGAGCTCCTGAGGAATGACTAGAGGGTGACCTCTGGCCTGAACACCTATCCACCCCCACAAAAAGAAGGATCACCAGGAAGAGAAGGCAATCCAAGATGGTCCACCCTTGTATTCAGGAAGGCTTTTAGAGCTGAAAATGGAATCACGGTACAGTGTTGGAAGGCTGAGGTGGGAGGAATGGTTGAGGCCAGGAGTTCTAGTCTATCCTCAGCAACATAGTAAGATTCTGTGCCCTCTCCCAGGGTGTGGGGGGGAAGGAAGCAAGAAGTGGCTGAAGTCTGAAGATTTCTCAGACAAAAGAGCAGGTCCACCCACCAGCAAGCCCCCCAGCCTTAAGCACATGTGCATGTGCAGATCGGGCAGAGATGAGATGCTGCTGTAGTAGGTAGCGGGCGACCTGAACAATGGAACTGAAGGACCGTTTCAGGATCCGCTCCGCCCAGTCACAAGTCAGGGCGCAGGCTGCCTCCACCAGTTCATCCCGAGGTGCTGGGCTTACTTCTGGGCCCATTTCTGGCTGGAGTGGAGAAAGACATGCTCAGTCAGATTACCTACTGAAGTACTTTCCCTTGAGCCTACTACTGACCAAAGCAAATACCAGACTGAGGATAGGAAACTCTTACCCGTTTAAGAACCAGAAACCAAATTCTCTTCCTCCCATGCTTCCACCACAGGGAAGGCAGAAGTTCCCCCAGAAGCAATGAACAAATGAGTGCAATTTTTCCAGCCATTAAACCAAGTCCTAAAGACCTTTTACCTGGTAGACAGAACTAGCACTGGAATGTCATTACTTACACTTTCAGACCCCTTTAAGTCCAGTCCAGGCAATGGTGGCATAGATACCAAGGTCTTCCTTCGTATGCCACTGTAGCAATATCTGATGCAAGTTAAGGAGCAGCTAAAATCTGGGCCTCTTTGAGCCTCTTAGGCAAGTCCGGCTATCAACAATGTTACCTTTTCCTCCCCAGGTCCTTAGTCCTAGTCTCCCAGTCAAGGATACTTGGACTGGCCCCGACCACCAAGTCTTCGGGCCTTGATGTCAGGGAAGATCTCTCTGATGATTTTACCAAAGTTGGCTGTGCTGAGAGGGCGGCAACAGGCAAGACTCTCACAGTACTTTCTGAGTGTGGAGAGGGTAGATAGGAGAAGCTATTCAGAGAAGGCTACTATTGGGTTTAGATGGTTCCTAGGGACCAGGTGTGGGGAATCTTTTCAGAGGTCACACTCTAGCAAGGCAGGAGGAATTGAGGGTTAAGAGTCTAGTCCTACACCCACCAACCCAGGCACAGCCTTCTTTACACACCGATAGGCATCATAGACGCTCTGCTTTGGTAGACAGGTGTCCATGTGCTCTTCCAGGTGGTTGCGAATCCATCTATAGGCATACATATACTCTTCATTGCTGAGTATACTTGGCTCTGAGCTGTAAGACAAGCAAAAGGGACAAGAATTACTTCAGTGATGCCAGGTCAAATCAGTTTGTCCCAAATTCACCCTTCCCTGCTAAGCCAAGCCAGGGCAGGGGCCTTACTTCTTGACATATGACATCAGCTATGTATCTCCTACTTCTTTTTAACTTTTTTTAAGATTATTTTATGTGTATGAGTGTTTTCCCTGCATATACGTCTGTGCACATGTGTGCCTGGTGCCCATGGAGGTCAGAAGGTGGTGTCAGAGTCCCAGAAACTGGAGTTATAGATGGTTGTGAGCCACCATGTGGGTGCTGGGAACTGAACCTGGGTCCTCTGAAAGAGCAGCCAGTGCTCTTAACCCCTGAGCCATCTCTCCAGGCCCCCATCTCCTACATTTTGACTCAATACAATGAGACTCAAAATCAGAGCCTGTGACATCTAAAACACTACCACCAAGGTACCTTTTATCTCCAATGCTGGGCCCTGAAGGGAGCTGAAGGTAGAGATACAGCTTGTCGTTATCTGAGAACTTCTGTACTTCTTGCTGAGGCAGAAAGGAACACAAGTGGGAGGACCCAGTGAATGATTTTCTGATCTTGACCATAAAGTCCAGTTGACTCTTACTTAAGTCAGGGTTCAGAATGAAAAGAAACCTAAGGAATGACCTGAGGTTAGGTGCTCACTGGGCCTGGAAACCTTATGGGCTTGCCACAGAGAGAAAGGGAGAAGAGGATAGGGTATTGGGTTTGATTTCATCTCCTACACAGGCCACAGAAGGATAAAGTGTGATGCTCAAAGGTGGCCAGCACTGCCTCTCCCACATAAACCTTTCTCACGTCACCATCACCCTCCTCCCAGGGCCACCTCCATTGCCCTTCCCCAACATGCTTACCAGAATTCCCTCTACTTTGTTCTGCACGGCCTTGCTGTGGAGAGAGAAAGCTGGAGGTTACAAGCTTTTCCCATCCCTCTGTCTGATTGCTAGAGACAGGAAAGGGACCAAACATCTACCACAACCACAGACTGCTCTCAAACAATTGCCTGAGGGAGGAGTGAAGGGTGACAAGGATCTACAGCTGGGGCTGGAAATGGGTTTGGAGACAGAGACAATTACTTACGAAATGGTACCTCGGAGCCTTTGAAGAAGGGTGGTGGGTTCCCCAGCCTCAGCACCACCTTGGGGCCTCGCCCCATTCTTGGAGCTCTTACCATCAAGTGTATCTTCTGCCATCCCAGCATGAGAACTAAAGCTGAGAGAAGACAAGTTATGAGTACTTAACATCCACCAAGCTTCCTTTCCCCTAGAGATCCCAGGGCAGGCCTCCTGTCTCTACCCAGAAATACAAACAAAAGCAAAGCTTCTGCCCGTGGTTTTCCTCACCACTTGCATTCTCAAAAATTAGAATTATTCCGTTATTTTGTCAGGCCCTTCTAATACCAGGGATCTCTGACGTCTCCACTCTATATGTCTCACCTTTTGAAGTCTCCCAAATCTGAGTTACAGAAAAAGATAGGGGTGGAAAAATCCACGTTGAATCTTGTAAATTATCCCAGTGCTGCGCCCGCCCCCCGCCCCCGAAAAAAAAAAAAAAAGATAACGACAAGCCAAAGTTCTCCGATTGTCTGATACACTCCTCACCACTGACTTTGCCTGGGAGGTCGGAAGGGATACGAACACAGTCGGCCTTTCCAGGTTTGAAAAAAAACTGGGCCCAAGTTCTCATTACTGAGTCTCACCACGGCTTCCCCCGGTGCCCCTCGCCGCGGCGCGGACCCTACGTCATCCTACGACATCCCACCCCGAGGCGTCCCCACTCCCCTCGGACCCCTTCACCCCATCCCCAGTGTTGGCCCGCGGAGGCTCGGGCTCCGAACTCCGGGACTCGGCGCAGGAAACCCCGCGGGGAACCCGGTCCCTGATTCGGGCACGTGCCCCCGGGTGAGCAGCTGCGGAAAGCGGGTCCTGCTGCTCCCAAGCCTGTTGCCCCTCCTACCTCGGAACCGTCGCCTTCCAGCACCGACATTATTACATCGGTGAGAGAGAAAGAGAAACTACCCCGTGGCTACCTCCGCTCCAGCCCAGTCCCACGGTGCCGGGCCGGCGGGCTCTTGAGTTGCTTTTATTTTTCCTCTTTCTGAATGGTTGTGCCAGCCGCGATCTGCCTGGATACACGCACGGCCTGCTCTGTGATTGGTCGTTGCTGCCACCTAGGCGAAGGCAGTGAAAGTCTGCCTGGTAACAGAATGCGATTGGTCGAGAGGGGAGGGAAAATCCAAAGTTGGTCTTATTTTAGTCAAGAGGGGGAAGTCCAGGTTAGGTTTCGGTTAAAACCGGGGTCGGTTAGGCTTGCGGTCCGGAAAGGGTTCTGTTCTTAAAGGGACCGCAGGATGAAAGCCCGGGTGCTCGGCCCCCTCTGAAGCGTTTGTCTTTTGCCCTCTGATCTCGTCCGGTGTGAGGTCAGCCAGGAGGAGGAAAGGGACCGAGCGTAGGCTTTACTCGGCAAAAGACGTGCCTAGATGCCTTCTCGGGTCCGAGAACTACGAAAGGGAGTTACAGGGTAGGAAAGTGGTTGGCTAGGGGTAGCTGGGGAATATGCTGAGTTAAAAATGTCAGGAGGTTGATAAGTATTTCCATTACTAGGGGAGAAGGGGTCGATAGGACGCATCAAGCAAGAATATAGCAAAACAAGTTGTTTTGGTTGCGGGACCCAAATTTCTCTGGTTTTAGGAATTCTCGTTGTTAACCAAAATTGGGGAAATTTACAAAATGGAATGCCCATAGCTATAGATGGATGGATGGATGGATGGACGGACCGATAGACAGATAGATAGATGATAGCTATCTATCCCCCCCACACCACCACCCCCCCGACAGGGTTTCTCTGTGTAGCAGAGCCCTCCTGTCCTGGAATCCCTTTATAGATCAGGCTCGCCTCTAACTCAGAAATCCTCCTGCCTCTGCCACCTGGGTGCCGGGATTAAAGGCATGAGCCACCATGCCCAGCTGATGCTTTTTAAAAATTGTTAGAAAATGATGGCTAGTATGGCAATTCATTATAAATTTCTGCAACTCCTTTTGGTATAAAGCAAGTTGAACCATTCCACCCTTCTTTCCTTACCCTTCTGTCTTTCCTTAGCCATTCCATGCGGCCAACAACCTCTCTACAACTGCAGGCTCCCCTCCCGTCCACAAAGAAGCTTGAAATCCTTAACAGCTGAAGCACATTAAGTGAAAATGGTTTTTTCCCTCTATTATTGGCCATTGTCTCATCACTTTATTTCAGTGCTTCCGTTTTAGTTAAGCAATGACAACTCCCAGAACCAAAGCAAGTTAATACCAAACTCATTTTCCAGATTCTTGCCTCCTCAACCCATCTTCCCTAGTAACCCACAAGAGATGTTTATGGATCGGCTGACCCCCCTAGCTACCCATAGCAACTGCTGACATTGGTCACAAAAGGAAACTGTACAGTCCCTTCCTCCTTTCCCTGTTCTGCCCTATAACTGGTTCCGGTCCTTCCAATAAAGGCATCTCACCCTACCCCCTTTGCAGGTCTTTTCCAGAATAAAGCCTGTCTGTGAGCGGCTGGTGCTGTTCTCTGTCTTATCTCCTTGCTCACCTTCTACCTGTTAATGCTTTGCTTTCAGAGTCCAGAGTGCTAACCACTACACTCTGGAACTAACTCGAGTGCTTTGCTTTCATGTGTATGCTTCATCTCTTTCCATGTCTCAAAAAGCAAAATGTAAACACGAAGTAAAGGAGCTCTACTAAATTTATTCTATGAAGCCAGTGTAGTCTTGCTACCAAAACCAGGTGAAAACACTGCAAAACAGAAACTTCAGAGTCGTGACAATTCTGGAGTTTTGGCTTCTTTTAAAAACACAGACTAATAAGAGTATGTTTTAATTTTAATCCCAGGAGTGGGAATATAAGCCTACTTTGAAGCAGCTGACTATGACTTGCCTCATGCAAATCATAGTTTTGCCAGCTGTAGCTAGTTTCTGTGATTGTGTGACATTTGGAATTCTGGGAACTTTTCAGAGGGTATAAAAATGCTCGGGTCCCATAGGTGGGGTTGGTGGTCGCTCATGGGTGTTGGTTAGAAGTTGTGCTAAAAGAAGAAACGGGAAGAAAGAAATCAGATTCAGGGACACCCCCCATCCTTGTTTCTCTCCTATCTAGTGATAGGGATTGAAAAGGGAAGGGCGGTAAAAGGTACAGCATAATAACCTGGAAAGTGGCATTGATATAGTCAGCCAAGCTAATCCAGAGTCCACCGGCTTACACTCGCTCACGTGTGTAGATCTCTATAATCATATCACACTGTAGATTTGTATTACCCACTTAAGTTCTGACGCAGAAGACAACCTGATGTTATGCTTAACGCCTAGCAACCCTTAACCTGTTCTCCAGTTACACAGTTTTGTCACTTGAAGAACGTTTTATAATCAGAATAATTTTATACAGACATATATAAAAAGTAAGATTTGTGTGTGTGTGCCTGTGTGTGTGTGTTTTCATTCAAAGTAATTCCCTTGGGCTGGTGAGATTGCTCAGTGGGAAAAAACAAACAAACAAACAAACAAAAAACCAACTGCTGCTAAGACTGATGGCCTGAGTTCCAGTCCCAGGACCCATATGGTAGATGAAGGAGATACATATACAATGGCATATGTTCATGTTACACACACGCAAACACGTGAGCGCTCACACACAGACACCTGGGTGGTGGGAGGTAACAAGGCTATTAAGTTGTTTTAGAAGTAAATCCCCTGAGATCCATTCAAGCTGTTGTATTTATCAAAAGCTCAGTCGTCTTTGTTGTGAGTATCGTTCCATGGTATAGATATAACACAGTCTGTTTAGCCATTCTCTTGTTTGTAATGACTCTGATGAAGGACATGTGGGTTGTTTCTAATTTGGGGATGATTGGCAGAAAAGCCATGAACAATTCTGTACCAGTTTTTATATGAAGAGACATTTTCAATTTCACTCTCCAAATAAATGCACAAAGGGCAGTTGCTCATATAGAAAGTTTATTTTATAACCTAATTTTATGTTTTATCTTGTGAAGATTTTATAAATTTAATTTTTTAAAAAATTTATTTATTTTATGCATGTGAGTGCTCTATCTGCATGTACACCTGCATGCCAGAACAGGGTATCAGATTCCAGTATAGATGGTTGTGAGCCACCATGTGGTTTCTGGGAATTGAACTCAGGACCTCTGGAAGAACAGCCAGTGCTCTTAACCTCTGAGCCATCTCTCCAGCCCCCATGAATTTAATTTTATAAAGATCTGCCAAACTGTTTTAAAGAATGGTTGTTCCTAGCAGTATGTAGCGGCACACTTTAACCCCAGAAATCAGGCAGCAGACTCAGTTGGATCTCTGTGCTTTGGGATTAGCCTACTCTACATGTCGAGTTCCAGGTCAGCCACAGCTGCACACAGAGAAACCCTGTCTTGAAAAACAAAACAAAACAGAAAGAATGGTTGTTCCTGGGGCTGGGAAGCTGAATCAGTGGCTCCACTGTAAGGACCTGCATTCAGTTTCCAGCACCCATGCACTGCCAGGTGGGCATGGGAGCCACCCATGATCTGCCTTGGAAGGTAGAGATGGGATTCCCAGAGTAAGTTCACTAGCAAGGCCAGCTGTGTCAGTAAGCTCCGGGTTTGCTTGGGAGATGAGAAATTGGAAGAGTAGCCGAGCAGTGCTGGCACATCACTCCCAGCACTCAGGGAGCCGAGCCAGAGAGATCTCTGTGAGTTCAAGGCCAGCCTTGTCTACAAAAGTGAGTCCAGGACAGCCACGGCTACACAGAGAAACCCTGTCTCAAAAAAACCAAAACAATAAAAACAAAAAGTGGAAGACTGATGGAGGATTGTGACATCAGCCTTGGACCTCCATATCCATGTGCACACAAGTGCACAAACACACCCCCAAATATGTAAACACAGATCCCCTGTCCCCCCCACACACACACTCACATTCACACTTGCCTGGGGGGGGGATGTATTTTAGGTTTTTTTTTGTTTTTTTTTTTGAGGCAGGGTCCCTCTATGTAGCCCTGGCCATCCTGGAATTGGATCTCAAACTCATTGACTGGCTGGTCTCAAACTCACTGCATCTGCCGGCCTCTGATTTCCAAGGGCTGGGGTTAATGTAGTAAAGGCTTGCGCCACTGCACTTGGGTGAGAAAAATATATACTAGGATTTGAATCTAGGGCCTTCCTGAATGCTGGGCAGACACTCTACCACAGAGCTACATGAGCAGCTCAGAAATGTGAGTTACATTCTAACCAGCAATGGATGGTCTACCTTCTCTATATTCTTACCAATTTTTTCCTCCTCCTCTTCCTCATTGTCGTCGTCATCATCATCACTGAAGCCAGGGTCCTACACGCACTCTATCACTAAGATATTGTTCTGAAGTTTGAGACCACTGGGAAAAGACCACCAGACTCAATTCAGATTATAATTAGCCAGGTTTGTTAAAACTGCTGGCAGGGCTGTAACCTCTAATCCAGTTCAGTGATGTGATTCCGAGAGGAGGTACAGGAAGGGCTTTTATAAGAGAAAACCACACTTACTTCACTTCTGCAGAATTTACAGCTACGAAAGGAACTGCCTTACTCCCACCACACACAGTGATAAGTGAGTTTACAGACGCCAAAGCAAGCAGCTAATCATTTTAGAACAGTTATGCCATTCTGGGGAGGGGGCAAGGAGTCAGGGAACTTACCTTTTAGGATTTTAACATGGGTGCCTAGCACAAAATGGAATTTTCCTTAGACATCACAATATACCTCTAGCATATTGTGAGGTGTGATTATTGTTATTGTTATTGGCATGCAGTCCAGGCTGGCCCGGAGCTCACAGAAATACAGTGCCATGAGCCCTGGCTTGGAATGCCAGATCCTCTATGTCTGATTTGTGAGTTTTCCAGTTTTCTGTGCATTTTAGATGCATGTCTTCTTTCAGAAATGTCATAGGTGCTTGAGATATAGCCTAGCTGTCTCAGGGAGCTTCCTTCCTTTCTGCTGTAACAAGTGCTCAAGGTTTGTCCTATTGAATAGGACAAGCACAGTATGATAAATAGCTTT